AAGAAGTGTGTCTGAATAGTAGCTCTAATATAGATGTTATCTCTGCTAACACTTGCTAATATAGATGAGATTATCTGAATAGTGATAATTAGCGTCAATTTGCAAAGGCTGTTTTTTCAGATGCAGAAGGTGGCATTGCTGAGCGGCGACGACAGAGGGCCCGAGCGCAGATACGCAAGGTGTCCTTTCAGTGCCAGCGAGCAGAGCTTGCTCCCTGACGCCCAGCTAGTTCGCCCGCCCACCCGCCCTTGCACAAGATCGGCCTTGCCCCAAAAGGACACCTCATGACTAAAAATGAAGGGCCAGCCCGATCCTTCCCCGGATGAGAACACTGATAATGCCTGTGCATGCACATGACATAGACCTGGCAGAGCAAATGTCCACGTATAAAGAGGCGAGTAGAGCGGTGAGCAGCTCATCCATTATGGTCTTGTCTCCTCCTCCTCCGCTGCTTGCTCTGATCTCACAGGTCACGAACACGCTGGCTGAGTCGACAGGCAAATACCTGCGCTCTACCTTGAAGGAAGGCCCTTGTAAGAAAGGACCAGGTGCTCAAACAGAAAATTTGAACTCGCACTCCCGAAGGCAGCTTAAGTGTCGGTGCTCAAATTAGCTACATGTTCTTAGAGCGGAGAGTGAATGTCAGCCACAGATGTGTCTGTCAACGCGTCTGACGAATGATGTCATGCGTGAAGGTTGTGAAGTGTCATGCGTGAAGATTGTGAAGAAACATACTGCCAGGGTCCATGAAAATCATATTGAACGCTTTGTGATCCTGAGCTCTGTTCCCTACCATCAGTATGGCCGACCCTAGCTGATAAACTTGGGGCTGTGAAGACAAAAATTGGATCCGACTAGAGTTGAAGCAAGATCTTCAGTCAGTAAGGAAAGACTATATTGCAGTAACCAACTGTACCTAGAGTCGAAGCAAGACTACAAAGGTTAAGTAACTACAAGTTAGAGATAGATGTAACAAAGTACTCACTCTTCAGTCAGTAAGGAAAGACTGAAGAGGAAGGACACAATCTGAAGTCCTTATATACTATAGTGAAGTGTCCATGACTAATCGAAGAGTGGTTAGTCACATGTACCATAGTGCGATGAATAATATAATGGTGAAATAATTGTGACATATCGCACCATAGAATCAGTAAGAGATGAGTAAGGCATAGACCTATCTAGACTGTTCTGGAGTAGTACGGATTGTCCTAGACAGTACCAGAAGTGTCCGGAAGCATAGCTATAGTACACGAGCAGAGAGTCCCAAATATGGTAATATACTGCATAAGCAACTACAGCTAAGCGCTAGGAGACGCATAGCCTCATATAGTCCGGACCGGATAAGCCCAAGTTCAACACTAGCAATCTGGCAACAGACTTACAACAAAAACTCTCACAAGCGCCCATGCTTCGACAATCAAACCTTAAGACAATCCTGTCACAGCCAACGAGCTGTGCTACCAGATAAACAAAGACAAAGCTTACTGGTGATGGGGTTGGTGCTGAGGGGCGAAGCAACTCCAGGTGACACAGCAAGAGATGGTGTAAAGAAGTAGATTCCCTAGACTAGAAGGGGCAGTGAGAGGTAGGGCTGCTAGCTACTTACAGAGGAGATGGGTGATCGACGAGAAGATCAAGTCTGAGGTTCTCTGCCTCAGACTCCCTACTATTTATACAAATACAATGGTGCACAGACCAGATACCTATTTGTCCCTGCTTGGTCAGAGTCCGCTGACTCATGTCCTGCCTACTGACCTGTCACATGGTGTCTGTCACAGTTTTCTCGTGCCACGTGACCTGAGGGTCATGTGCACTGGGACAGACGCTCACCTTGACCGCGGACAACTCGTATCGGAAAGTGGAGGGGCCAGGATCGAACCCCAGACCTCGTGACGGCCAGGAGCGCCCATCCTCACTCACAGGCAGGTGACTGATGTGACAGCAGGAGCGCTTACTCATTG